ATAAAAATGTGATAAACATAGTTACCCTGCCTAGGTTCTGGTTGACATAAAAATTGTCCACTTTCAAACTTTAAACCTAAACCCACTTTTCAAATAATATTTTACCGTCCAAAGTTCCAGCAGTTCAACCAGTCTTTAGAAGGTAACCATATTATAGTTTTTTTTTTTTTTTTTTAGTTCAACAATATGTAAGGATGAGATTCTTAGTCAAAGTTATTATGTATTAACCAGTTCCATTGGGCCATATTCTAGATTTTTTTTCATTTGATCTAATCTTCCAACATTTCTCACTTTGATAATCGAAGATATTTGTCTACCATAATCATCGTGAGTTTTTTTGATCATTCTTGTAAGGAATTAGGAAGGCATGTCTAGTGCTTTTTGCGGCCAAATGATCCCATGAATAAATTGAGGTAATAAAAGCAGGAGTTAGGAATCGTACCAATAGCCTCTAGCTGCGTCTTTTCTAGTACTTCATTCTGGTCTCCAACAAATACTGGCCTATCTACAGGTGATCCATTAGGAGCAACTGCATACAAAAAGAATAAAAACTATCAGTGAGTAGGAATAGTGGAAGTTTTTTTTCTTTTTCTTTTTCTTTTCTTTTTTTTTTTTTTTCTAAAGAAACCAAACTTTCAGTAAGGAAAATGAAAGAAAAACAAGGACATGCAATAAAAAACCCTAGAAGAATGAACGAGGAAAAGAAAGTTTATTGACTTGATCAGCATCCAAAAGCCTAGAATCAGGAATTATTGGCTGTCTATGAACATTCATTCAGCATTTAAAGAAGATAAATGACACAAGTGAATAAACGAAACGTGAGAACATCTTACTTGATTGGTCCTCTGCAGACACAGGCTTAACACAGGGCACTTCTGCAAAAGTTGCAAATGATATTAGTTATCATGCCAATAGAATTGAATGCTAACCACAGAATGCCAGTGAAACATAAAAGAAAAACCTCTGAACTACTTTTAGGATCGTTAGATTCAAGAGCCTCAGCTTGAAAATATGTAACTAGCAAGTATTCAACCCTAAACAGATACCAGACCCTCGAGTTTTAACATTTTTTTTTTAATATTTGCAAGTGTCCATGCCCTGCTACATTATGTTACGAAAGTAACTCGTAAAATATTAAATCTTAGGTAGGTAGCCTTCATGGCTTATTCGAAACCCACAAGTTAAAAGGTAAAAATACAGGAAAGGGAGCTTGAGAAAAATTTTCTGCCTTGAACTTAAGCAGTGTATTCAAATTCATAACAGAGCATAAGCCACACCAACCCAAAAGCCTAGAGATTTCGCGACATCATGATACTATATCAAAATAAAAGGCTTCATTACAGTTATTCTTGAACTGTAGACCACCTGAACATCAAACTGCTTACGAAATATAGAACATAAATAGAACAAGAAAACCCAAGGCTAAAAGAACAGTACCTTTGTGTTTCTTGAAACAAACCAGAGAGCAGCTTCAAGCAAAATGAAACAGAGAAAACCACCACAAAAATGAGTGAAGGTCAGAGAGTTTTCAATAAAACCACACGAACATGACCTAAAAGAAATTCTTTTGTTTTTCTTACTAAGGAACAAGGCATAGGGGGCATTTATATTTGGATGGTGCTTCATTGCAGACCTGACATTGCCGAGGACCCATAGAATGTTCAGTTTCTTAAAACCTTAAATGCTGCAACGAAAAAAGGATAAATTAGAACCCTACAAAAACTTTGAGAATAGATATCCACATATCCACGGCGAGCCACTTTCAAACATGTTTTTGATAAATTTGCTTCTGTTGATACCACATTATTAACATGTTGACAAACACACGCATTTTAAAATTAAATTTTCAGAAACGAGTAGAACTATCAAGCTGAGAGCGATTAAGACTTGATGCTTCTATCATCAATAATAAAGTTAAATTCAGTCCGGAGGATTAAGATTTCACCAGAATAACCAATGCTAGAGCTGCTACTTCAACTTCAACTTCAACTTGATCACTCCACAATTATAGACACACTAAGAAAACATATTTATATAAATTACTCAAACATACAGATTCCGAAAGCAGAAAAATAGACAGAGAAAGAGAAAATCGAATTCAGCAAGTTTAACCATACAATCGGATTAATGAAGACGGCGATAAGAAGAGCAGAAGAAAAGTAGAGGCCTCACCGGAAGGAGAGATTGTGAAGTTCTCAGCCGAAGCAAAAGCGAGTTTGGCGCGCGGCTTCCCCTTCCCACGAGGGTTTTGACAAAATTGAATTACCCCAATGGATTTTTAAATTCGATTAAATTGCAAATTTGACCGGAGAATAATATTAGAATTTACTAATAATTTTAAAAACTTAGAATTTATTTGCTTTAATACTAAATTTCAACTTTTAATTTACAATTTAATCTTCAAATAAATTTTAAAAATAATATATTAAGGTCTAGATTTTATTAAAAAAATTCGAGAAACAAAATAGAAGAAGCACGAGAAAGACATGATGGCAATAGAGACGAGAGAAGTTTATGATTGGCTTGGAGAGAAAGAAGCTTAACCTAAGTTTTTAGTCGTTGTGTGTGATGCTCGGCTAAATAAAGCTTACCCTAACAAACAAACACTTTTAATATCCATTTAGTTTTTTCGGTTTTTCTTTTAATAGGGTTTTTAAATAAAAATCTATTTCTAAAAGTTGTAAAAACGTACCATGATTATATATATATATATGGTTCAAAAGAATCTAAAATGAAACACAAACAAATTTTAAGTCAATAAAAATGAAGTCGATGAATAATCTCTATATGATTTTGTTGATTACGTTTGTGTCAGTTTTTAATGTTTTCACTTGTTTTGCACGACAACCTCCAGAATCGCATTGGAAAGTGTCGATTCTTAATGATCAAGACGTACCTCTACGGATCCATTGCAAGTCGGGAGATGACGATTTAGGTAAATAAGGGTATTGCATAATGTCAAAGTATATTATTTTATTTATATCTAAATTTATATATATGTTTTTAGCTATTAACTACGTACCAATTGGTATTTATGAATTTTTTTTTATTAAATTAAACATTTGACTACATAATTATATCAACGTTTCAGAGTTCTATTTTTTTTTTTTTTCATTTTTTCAATTGAATTTGTGCCCATTTAATCTAACTTTTTTATTTAGGAAAGCATATTGTTAAGTCGAAACACGAATACAGTTGGGAATTTAGAGAGAATTTTTGGCAGACAACATTGTTTTGGTGCAAGTTTAGCAGCAAATATGGAAAGCTTTCGTTCGAGGTTTTTTGGCCAGAGCATGGAATTTGGCTTGAAGAACGATGCAATGGTTTGCACTGCATTTGGAAAGCAGATGAAAAGGGTTTTTATTTGCATGATAGTAAAACAAAGGAATTCGAGCTCATTCATCCGTGGACTTTTTAGACAAAACCATCCCATTTGTTTTACTTCACATCAAATCTTTTCTTTTATGAACAAGTTGTGACGGCTGGTTGTGTAATACTATTCTAATAAAAAGTCTATTAATAACTTGAATTTTTAATTATACCGAAACTTTTAATGTATATGTCAATAAATTATTAAAATTGTTATCGAATAAAAAATATAGACGTCAACAAGTATATCAAAGTCTCGAAATTAAAACCTAAAAATAAATCTATTTCCAAAAAGAAAAAAAAAATTGAAACTACATAAAACACAAGAAGACAAGAAGGTTAGAATTGGTTATATTTTCAGTTTAAATTAACAAATATTCTTGGGTTAGGTTTCCAAGGAATTGTACAGTAAAGATGGTGAACATATTACGCTTGAAACAGCTAAATTACTTAGAATGAGAAGGAAATTAACCGTTCATACACAAAAACATTGGATTTGAGTTTGATTTTATTAAAAATAAAAATAAAGTAGGTAAATATTGTCATGGTTTCAGATGTTATAAATGATATCAGAGACAAACATGAACGATGTGTTAAAGAGGATGTTGAGCTCCATAAAGAATTATATGATAGATTGTGAGATCTCATATCGGTTGAAAAGAGGAATAAAACATTTATTATAAAGGTGTAAAATCCTTCTCAACATAGGTATTTTAAAATCATGAGGCTAACAATATGTAATGTATTGGACCTGGCTGGTGAGGTTGCAAAAATTTCAGCAACCGCTGGAATTTTTGAACCCCACACGACCACGACTTCTGTGGGTCGCCAGGATGCCCTGGAACACCTGCTAAGAAGCCAAAGAGCATAAAACCGAGAGAGAGGATTCGTAGTTTTTCTGGCGAGCAAAACCATAACTCGAAACCGTCAGCCCCGACCCCTATACTGAGCAAATCACACCGGAAAAGTCCTCACTAGCCTAAATACATCCACCAAGAGCGAACTCACGTCGTGTCGTCGTCACCACGCCGTCAGAGAAGGAACCTAGAAATCGGTTTTTGAGAAATCTCCGATCTACCTCCACCGACGTCCATAAGCCATGAAATTTCGTGGGAGAGAAGGGGAGGAGTCAACAGAGATAGGGGAGAAAAGAAGTCGCGGGGAGGAGAGAGAAAATCTGTAGGAAATATATTCTTCCTAAGCTCTTGTAACAACTTATAAACACGTGATCAACCTCTTAATTAATTAATTAATTGATGAGACTTTCTCTTTAACAAAAGCTCGACTCATTTTCTCTAGAGTTTTCAAACAAAGTACACACTTTATTCGACACTTCAGTCACTCTAGAATACACTTTCGAGCTTCACAACTTCTTTGTACTACACTTGAAGATTCTATTAAAATGGCTAAGTTAAGGACATAACTTTGATATTATGTTACAAACTATTTTTCTCCATGAATGGTCTACTTTAAACATAAATCATAGTAGTTTTACTTTTAGTTTTTTAAAATGTCTCATGCCAATGAAAATGTATTTTTTACTTATAAATCCTTGATCAATCTTTCTATTGGCTTTTTACGGGCTGACATGGACTCCTCTCCCAAGATTGGGAGAAACTGAGGGAAAAAAATGCCAAGGAAGCTGTTGTTCTCATTTGATAATGATAAGAACTATGCTTAATTACATGTTTACCTGTGTGTGTGATGTTATGGAACTCTATCTCCTAACAAAATTCAGCCGAAACCATTTACTGCCTCTCTTACGCTACAAAATTTTGAAGGCATGTAGGGCTTGGCTAAGAACTTTCATGCTTCCTCCGGTTTAAACCTGCAATTATACAAAGTTAAGATTAGAGTACAGCTTACACTCATCCACGATACTTGCGTCGAAAAAATAAATAAAGGTTGGGCGGTTCAAGAATGGAGTTCCTATCTATGTGGCTCCTGTGATCCTTCTGAGCACCAAATAGGACAAGAAAAGCTCACATGGATCCATGCTGGGGTTCCCTGGTTCGCGATTATTGTCGATGCTTTCAAGTCCCCGACTAGTATGTTGATTGGGGGATCTGGGTAGGGCGGCTAGTTGATTCTGCGAAAGAATTCAAGGATATAAAATAGCACCTATGAGCTATAATGGTGCATACAACGGTGCTAGCAGAGAAATTAGGTGCTAGATACCTGTGGGGAAGGCTGTTGTGATGCTGCTGCGGGCACCTGCATCTGTTGGGAGCCAAGAAACTGCTGGTAACCATCAAGTGAACTTGAGAATCTTGGATGGTTTATATTTTGCATTTCTGATAAGCTGTGCATATGTTCCGACAGATTTGTTCCTTGAGTTCTTGATGGGTCGGTATTAGGAACATGCGCCATATGAAAGACTGGATGAGTGAAAGTTGATCCAATTTGGGCTGCTCCAGCTGGACTCGGAAATGTCGACCCAGCTAACATATTACGATCTGGCATCATGGGAAGGTTCACACTTGTTTCCATGCCCATTCCAAGTCCCATTGGCATTGGTGGCATAAATTGTTGGACGCCAGGAGACATCATAGGCACCAAACCACATACCATGGACCATCTCCATAGAAACTGGTCAATATTTGTATTACTTATCATGCATACTGAATCACATTCGTCTTATTACAACCATTACCAATTCATTTCGAGACCAAAAGAAAGGGGCAGAGGATTAAAAAACTCGGTTTCACATAAATAATCTTTTGGGGAAGATGGTCGAAGGTTTTCGTTCAGTATTTTGGATCAACGACAAGGTGATACTATTGAGCATTGTTGGGAAGGAGCCCACATTGGCTAATTTAAGGAATAATCATGAGTTTATAGGTAAGGAATACATCTCCATTAGTATGAGACCTTTTAAGGAAGTCCAAAACAAAGTCATAAGCACTTATACTGGAGAATCGTGATTCCTAACAGATACATGAAATTAAGAACCGGGCAAAGTTCGAATGGTCAAGTGTTTGTACCTGTCTACTAGTAGGAGGTTCAGCCACCTCCCTTGTTTGTATATCTTCAAATAACTATATGAAAAGAAATGAGAAAGCACTGGTAGTGTGCAGTGAAGAGTGCAGGAACAGGGCAACATGAGCAAACAATCATGCTGAAGGGAAACTGTGCCGTCTGAGAGCATGAAAATGTATGCGCAATGAAATTGAGTAAACATGATTGATTGATACCTGCACTTGGAACTGAAGTGACTTCAGGTATTCAATTGCCTCGTCCAACATTGAAGCTTTATCCGCCTGAAACGTGAGTAAACATCGATCAAATTTAGTGAACAAACAAAAATGGGAAGAAATAGTTTGATCTATGAACTTTATTTCAGAGGAGGAAATTATCTCGCTAATTATATATGCACCTTATTACACCGAGGTATTAGCTCCTGCAAAGCCTTCATCTTTTCATTTATCCGATCTCTTCTTCTCTGCAATGTAGGGATAAGTATTCTACGAAAAGATGTATAACAATACAGAAAAAGAAAATTACTCACTCTCTCTGAGAGATTATGGACCTCAGAAGCACGAGATCTTTTTGTAGAGGTTGATCCACGACCTTGCTTCTTTGCATCAGTAGATTCAAATTCAACGTCCTTTGAAAAATGTTTATAAAGTTAAATTTTTTAGAGAGACCTTGAAAAGCTAGAAAGTGGCACCAATGCAGTAGCCCCATCTGGCATCAGCAGCATCAGAATTTACATTTGCAGAAGCACGTAAGAATCCACTCAAAGCACAATAGTTCCTAACCACTATAGAACCTGAAAACAAAATACAAAGCAATGGACACCGACGTAGCACATCCAGTAACCTTTCCACTCGATTCTTAAGGTATTTATCACAAATGCCTGAAAATTAAGGATAATGGTTACATAGGATTTGTCAGAAATATTCTTACCATACTTTAATCAAATGTATCAGCAAACCTTAGACGTTGAAATCATCTTAGCGGAGAGCCTGCTCTATTCACTTCAATAGTCCCTTTCAGCTTAGAACACTGAGTTTTAGAGTCCTTGGGTTCATCTCAAATTTTCTTTATGTTTTAGTTTTAGTTTTATAAATACTAAACGCTTGGCGTATCTGAAAAAAAGGGGGCAAAAATACTAAAAAATTGGGGGAGATTGTAGATTCTAATGGGCGCATGCTCATACGTCAGGAATGCCGTCCTCACAGCTCACTTCAGAAAAAAAAAAATGCATGTGTATCTATTTAATGTGGTCTGGTTAATTTCATAAAGTGTAAGGTCAAAATCATAGACCTAATTATAAATTCTATCAATCATGAGAAATGAATCAAAGGGGCATAAAATAAAACAAGAAATTGAGTTCGGAGCAAGACTCACCGTGCTACGGCATTTGTAATCGGAATCGTCCGTTTCTTTTCCTTTCCGCTTTCGATCCTCAAAACTCGTCGTCCTTTGAATTGCGGGATCTGTCTCAGCCCCTGTCATATTCATCAGCCCTCCATCGTTGCCACTCGATGTAGCCGTTAATCCACCACCGCTCATAACCCTGCAGGCTAAATCACCGCTTGATGCGTCGACTACAGCCGTCCTCTGTAAATCCGAAGCCGTTGATTCGGGCGTCAACCACGTTGTGTCGCCCCAAGTCGAACCGACGACTGGAGATTCCCTTACCTCTCTCTTTGACTTAGACGGACCAGATTCGAGCCTCTCTGTGTGCCTCGAGAAGAGCCCGAAGCTACTCATCTTCGTTTCCGGTTCTGTTCTTCTCGTCGGTGGTATTGGCGGCCGAGAAGTCATCCTTGATATCGTTGTTGTCATCGACGTCAACGGGCGGAACTCCATGCCATGACTAGTACGAACTTGCGAAGAATCGCCAACGTTTTGCTCAATGCTCTGAGGTTGCGAAGGATAGAGGAGTTCATTGCATAAACTATTCTCCAAGGTAGAATCATCAACAAGAGGATAATGAAGCCATGAAATCATTTCGTCCTCCTGCATAAAGAGCTGCGGCTCTTCCTCTTGATTCAAAGGTCGAATATCTCTGTTCGTGATTTGCTCGGCCGTTGTTGACGGGGGTGATTTCGTCCTGGATTTCTGATTCTGACTATGCACTACCACCTGTCCGTTCTTCTACAGCAGTTACATAACCTCGCCGTCTGACCTGTTTTCTCAATCAAACAAATCCAGACTTGTATCCATAAAAATAATCTCGAATCGAGAAACAATACAGAATGAAAAAACAAACACTCACATGGAAGATGTATTGGAGCGCAATGGCACGGAAGAAGTATGAAGCGAGAAATCTTCGTCAGTCTCGAAATCAGATACGCAGCGATTCATCCTCTTTTATAGATGGATCAAGTAACTAATAGCAGATAAGAAAACAACAAAACCAAATACCAGTCCGTTCAGCTGATTCAATTAATCATTAGTTGAAAAGATAAATCCAACGGAATCGATGAGAAGTCGATGTCGTTTAGCAGCTAATTACGTCTCCAAATGCTCTGAAACGCTGTAAAACAAAAACAGAACATAAAACCGATCATCATTAAACGTCGGTGGAACTAAATTCCAGAATCAAGAAAACATTTCACATCCTTCAACTCTCTATCCAAATTGCTATCAGAAAAGTTCTTATTTCGTCTGTTTTCCAACCGCACTAGGTTTTTCCCAATGGCTGCTCCAATTGTCGATTGTCTTTCATGGAAGTTCAAAGTTGCTTAGACACGATAAGCTCTAATGGAAAGAGAAGGTAGAAACTAACATGGCTGCGAGTTGGATGATGAAAGAGAAGGTAGAAACTAACACGATAAGCTCTATTGATATGAGGCCTCGATTAAGAGAAGCGTGCTTTGTTCGAGGGAATCTGCTAAAATGACTCATTAGCTAATTTAGGAAATGATCCTGAGAAGGTGTTGGATCCCACGTCAACTAATTTAGAAAATGACTTTTCACTTTGTCATGTGAAAGCTCATCGCACCAACTGCGCTGCCTTCAATCTCCATGGAACGCTCACTCTCTCTCCTCTCTTTTTTTCTCTCTCTTCTGTACTGAGAAAGAGAACGGAAAAGGACGAGCCGAGGTTTTGACGGTTATGTGCCCAAGTCAATGTACTTCCCATTCCCCCCAACTTTTTAAAATAACCTTATTATTTATTTATTTATTTATTTAAGAAAATGAATATTTTAGATTTATTGAACTATTTTTTTTATTAATAACTTTTTAAAATAACCTTATTATTTATTTATTTATTTAAGAAAAGGAATATTTCAGGTTTATTGAACTATTCTTTTTTATATTTAATAATTTTTTAATATTAAATATACATTAAATTACAAACTTCATACATTTTCTCCAAACACACCACACCATGCTGTTGTAGTGTAGTGGTCTAACTACGTCGTACTTATAATAGTTCAAGAGCCTAAGCCTAGTTGTCCATCTTGAGTGTGGCACTATATGGTGCATACAACCTAGCCATGATTGGGACATGGTGAATCGAGCTTGGTTGCATGCCTTGGGCATGGTCAAAGACCCAAGGTGGTAGTTGGCTCACGTGTGATCGAACTTGCACATTATCATAGAATAAATTACTAGAAGTAACTCATAATTATTTTATTTTCGACTTCCACAAAATTATAGAAATCCAACAAAATTTTTGTAGAAAATACAGATGCAATGTCTTCCAATATTGCAGCATTGTGGTATGACCCTTATTTTTTATTATTTAAAGTATTATCATTTTCAATTATCCACCTCACATCATGTGTATTTACGTTGGATTAGGTGGAATTATGAACGGTCCGGATCGCGAGACTAGACAAGTTAAACAGATATCGAGAGGAGAGGATAAGAAGTATGTGGACGTTGGAAATTGTGCAGACGTGGCAAGTAAAGAGCATGCCAAGTTGGCCAGTTATGAGACAATAAGTGAGCTCCACGTCGGTCTGAGTGAGGCGGACCCCACTTCCTCCACGTGGTCGAGTTATTTAATGGACAATAATTACACGGGATCACGATCAAATTCACCTAAAATACTTAAATTAATCCAACTTACTGAAATTAAATACTAGGTTACAAATATAACATTGAAAAGTAAAAATTATTAAAATAAGTTTTAATATATATTAAACCATAATTAGCATATATTTGTTATACTAAAAAAAATAATTTATATATATTTGTTGCCATTAATCCCTCTCGGACCTTTTTCTTTTTCTCCTTTACGAACACTTTCTGTTTGTTCATACTAAAGTTACCCATTTTTGAACCCGACGCCGTGAATCCGGACTAGGGTTCGAAATCCCAGACCTTCAAATTCCTGTTAGACCAAGACCCACGAACGAAAAATGGCTCGCACTTGTTGTCATGTTTCTCTTGCTTTCATCCTCAAATGCTTTAATTTTCTTCAAGCTTTTGTTGGGATTTCGATTATCGTTTATTCCGCATGGATGCTCGATCGTCGGAATCATCAAGTTCCTGTATCTCCTCCGCCTTCTCCTGTACCGGCGTTGGCTCCTTCTACGGCTTCTTCTGCTTCGTTTTATTTGAATTCTGAATCAGTCTCTCTTGCCGATCGGATTACCGCTGTGAATTTAGCTGCCGATTTGATTCCCGAGCTCGGGACGGATTTAGAGCTTGATTTGAATGCCTTTAAGCTTCCTGCCCCTTGGTGAGATTAATTTGAATGTGTGGTTGGGCTTTGATGTGAAGTTTTCGATTCCTTGTGTTTGCGACTCTTAATTAGAAGATTTGAAAATCCGTGTTGCGCATTTATGAAATGGGACAGTTTTTGTAATCAATGGTCGAAATCCTTCAAAATTATATTAACTTCGTTCTGTATTTTAATTCGTTGGAATTTTCCTTGGATACTCTCTCACTGTTGCTGCCTTTTCTGTTGATTATTCCCCAACAATCAATTGAGTTTGAAACTTAGTTCTGGATGAGTTTGAAGGAATTTAGACTACAATAGCGTCAGTTTTACTCTTCATTTTTGGTGATGGAATATTGTGAACATGGATTTTGCTCCAGTCTTGTCCCGAATGATTCTCTTTCTGTATAGTAATTTGGTAGTTTTTTAAGATATGAAGCTCTTAATTTTATGCTGATTTATCATTATGATCATTGCTGCATATTGGGTTCATATGATTGTCAGGTTCATCTACTCATTCATGGGATTGGGCATCTTGTTGTGTTCTACTACTTTAGTTGGCTGCATTGCAGCTGAAGCAATTAGTGGCTGCTGCCTCTGTTTTGTATCCTACTATTTTCAGTCTATTACAGCTTGTTTCTCACTTCTAGATATTGCATTTTCTTTTCTGTGAAGTTACTGTTTTGGGCAATAGTCGGAGTCTTGTCCTCAATTTCATGAGGACTAATAGAAACATGCCACGAGAACTCGTGTTGGCTCTGGTGTGGAATTTACTAATCCTAATTCGTAGAACATATGTTTGGAAGAATTGCATTTTTTTCCCTATTCAACCTATAGAACTACAACAGCCCAAGCCTACCACTATCATATATGGTCTACTCTAGCTCCTTATGTATCACCGTCAGCCTCATGGTTTTAAAACGCGTCTACTAATGAAATGTTTTTACACCCTTATAAGGAATATTTCATTCTCCTCCAAATCAATGTGGAATCTCACCAGAGCAAATCATATTTTGGTACGGTCACGTGGTCATGTGGTGCATCTTATTCAACTATTTAGGGACTCTTGATCTTTTCTTGAATAAGCGTTGATCTTTTCTTGAATAAGCTTGCATTTATCCTTTAAGCTCTTTTTTCCTTTGAAATGGGAGTACTTTGTTTCTTGATGAGTGAACGTATCTATTTAACATGGCTTTCCCTTAACCTAGCAATACTAGTACAACATGCTTATAATACTGTTTATTCTCGTGGAAGTGGCTTTGGTATCATTTATTGCAATTGATCGCCGGTGGGAAAAGGTATTCTTCTGCACTTGAAAGCAAATTTACATGTGCACATGCATCTATTGATATGTGTTGACCTGAAAACAATGATGCAGGATCTTCCATTTGACCCAACGGGTGAACTCGATGGACTCAGGCAATTCATTGAAGACAACGTCGATCTGTGCAAGTGGATCGGTATCATAGTGATTGCGACGCAGGTAGAATTGATGGAATTAATCATCTATCCCTTCGCTCGTTTCTGATTGCATTTTGTTGTTGAGTATTAAATGGGCAGATTGAGTATCCTTAAGACGAACCTCATTTTTTGGTTTTCTCCTCCAAAATGCATAATGGACCTTATTTTGAAGTCATGTGTTTTATTCAGCAAACGAGCAAAATAGCAAGCATGTGAATCATATGTTGTCTTATAAAGTTGTGAATCCTCAGTATAGTTGCTCGGGTAAACTGACTCGAAGCTTCCCTTCTGGCCATTTGATCTCTTTTATCCGTTGCAACGGTGGCTTACGTTGCTCGTTTTTTCAGTTTATCAAAGTTTATAGTGTAGCCTCTCAGGTTCTATTTGATTATACTTGTTATGGTCATTCACTTTAGTCCTTCATGCGACCTCTCAGGCATTGTCACTCCTGTTAGCAATCATTCTGAGATCCATGGTTTCAACCCGTAAAACTGAGTACAATACCAACGAGGAGATCGGTGATCAAGACAGAATTCGGGAAACATTGCTTAATCCACCTGCAAATCAAGCTTCTGGTGCTAACTTTGCCCTTTGGGGTGCACGCATGAGAGAGAAGGTATCACATTAAACCTTGCCCTATTCTTCTCTTTTAGCAAAAAGGAGGCATACAAAATCTGTGTCTAAATGTAGTCTCAATCCTTTTCATTGCAGTATGGATTGAAAAACAGTGAATGATATAGTTCATCAAACCAGAGTTCGTAAATAAATATAAAAATAAATAAAAAGAAAAAAAGAAAACCGAAGCAATGGAAACAGAAAGTCTTCCTTGAGCAGGTCAGAGAAACTCAAACCAGTCATTGGTGTGTGTAAGTTTCTGTTCTGCTATATTGTGTGCTTTGATTTGGGTTGGTCTGATAGGATAGATTGCAATCAGCTTTGTGAAAGAACGGAAGGTTCTGGTGTTTATTATGAGATGTGAATATCATCAAGTTGAGGAATTTGAACAAGTTCTATTTTTCCATTCTACTCTTCTAAAATTGATATGATGTTAACCAAAGGTGTGAGCTCTTATACATTCTACATTTAGTTCTTACCTATAAGATATTAAAGTTAGAGTGAGTGATCATCACAATTTGAATCTATTTTTCGACTAATCTCACGAAATAACTGCTTAACCTTACTGCATTTAATTGTCAAAGCAATCGTAACAATCTTTTCATTTTTTTCTTTTCTAATCTTTTAGTATAATACTTCAAGAACTTTGCATGAATCAAAAACAAAAGCTAAGAAATCAAAATAGATAGATTTCACTTATATTTATACGCCATATATTTTCACAAAATGAATATCAGAGGTAAGTAGGCAGACTTATCTGGACATACACAAAATAAATCACGGGGCCATCATTTATTGAATGTCAGAGACAAAGGTGGGAAATAATGAATTAATCTAAAATAAAACAGAATTGCAAATTTTAATCACACTTACCTGTCAATTGAACTACAGCCTCTTCCAATAGCTCTTCCAGCAATCTCCTTTCTACTTCCTTCCCCAAATTATCCATTTCCATCATAAGATGATCATCCCAAAATTTTCCCCCAACCTCTTTTCTGACTACCCTTTCCACTACCAGGCTGTTGCTGTCACCAATTTCTCCGGTAACACATCTAGATTCACCACAAACCCAATCCTTCAGTTTACCCATAACACAGTCCAATAATGTTAGTGGTGCGCCCTCGGTGAAACTGCTGTCATGGGCTCTGCTAGATGTTTTCGCACTTCGTCTGTGGTCGAGTTCCTGACTTGTTATATCAATCAAGGCAGCATTCACACAGTCAAATACAAGCTTCCTACTTGATCGTACCTGCCTTCGCTTGGCCTCGAGCATCGGCTCTTTGTTGCTTAGATTGGCATATTTGTCTCTTAGAGATGGATCTAGTGGATTTACAAGCGAATGCCATCTTGTAAACAAAAAGCCACATTGTTGTACTTCACTACTGAGATCAGACATTGTAAGAAGGGCTTCCACGAGGCAATGCCAGTTTTGTTCTTCCTCCAAACAAGTGGAAACTGGTGAAGATTTGAGTGCATAGGAAGCAAACGAATCTGAATAAGAATCACCCCAGAATATACTCCGAGAAACTGATTCTATGGGTGGCGATTTGTCAATGAGGCTATTCTTGAATGGCGTACAGAACTCTGTTCCAGTTAAAGGTTTATATGAGATGCAGTTCGATATAGTCAGTCAAAACAATCTGTACAGCCTATGCATTCACCATGTGTGTGCATTTTCCTTGTTTCTTGTTTTTTTTTTTTTTTTTTTTTTTTTTTTTTTTTTTTTTTTTTTTTTTTTTTTTTT